ATTATTGGGGGGGTGGAGCACCCCCCCCCCACATCCCCCCGCTCGCGACGGCCCTGGCTACGTCCTTCATTAAGAAAGAATTAGCTAAGTGCGTTTCTACTTCAGCAAATGAGCTGATCAGGTGATGGATGATATTTTATAGGCATGGAATGCATGTCATGGATGTAAAACGTTTTATTAATAAAACTACTAATCTTTTTCTGGAAAAGTTGATTTAATACAAACATGAACGTAAACGATGAACCTAAAATTAAAAATTAGTAGAGCGGGTATAGAAGTAAATTTTCGACATCTCAATCGATGGGAAATATAGCAGTTTTTTCTGAAATAGCATTTTCGGATGTGAATTTAAATTCTATTGTTTGACCTAATCCGGACCAGTGATGCCCTAAATCCTGATACATTCCGGATAACAATAAAAATATATGCATCATCTGACAATGTTGCAGTTTTTGGAAACATTTCAGTTAAGCTTTTTTCCTACCTACGTGTACGCACAACAAGATTCAAATTATTCAAGATGATACATCTGCAATAAAAACAGATTTTATTAATGTGCATCCTGTCAGCTAAAAATATTTTATTCATTCTGTGTGAACAAGGCTGGAGGTCTCCCTATTCTTTGGCAGTATTTGAGCACGTCGCTGGTTTGCAGGACGGTAAATAATCAGTATTGCAGTTAAAATGTTGTACTAAGAGTGTTATTCAATTATCCACCGTTTAAACTAAACGTGCTTGATACAACCGGCCCCAGGAAAAACGACATTTTAACAAGCCGATCGATATAATGTGGCATGCTCACCGAAATATGAATTGACTGAGTTTAATTAAGTTAATTTTTAACCCTCAAGTTTTGCCTTGTACACTCGGATTGCTATATCCTGCAATCTCCTATTTTGCAGTCTTGGTAGATTAACTTTGCTCAGTAGCTCTTCATAACCAGTCACTTTATCATTAAATACTGCCATTCTTAATGCTCTTTCTTGAACCCGTTCTAATTTCCTTTTGTCAGTAGCACAGCAAAAATGCCAGACAGTGTGACTATAAGTTATATATTTTATCTATTTTAGCCAGCCAGCTGCTGGTAAATTAGCAGCTTTATATAAATTCAACTTCGCTCTTGTTGGTATCATGTTCTTCATTCTCATGAGGACTCCTACTCGCTGGCTGGCTTTCGCTTACGTTACTAACATGTTCATTAAACTTCAGTCTATTGTCAATATCTACTCCAAACAATCTAATACAGTCACTTGAATCAATCTTGATTCCATTTGTTTCAACCTCAATGCGTTCTCCTTTTTTCCCAGATATCATTATTCGGTATTGACCAAAGTTAACCTCTAAAATGTTTTCTCTGTACCAGTCCGAAGCCAAAACTGCACTTTCTTTCAGTTTTAATCGAACATTTGCCAAATTAATCCCACTTTCATAGAATTGATGATCATCTGCATATACATGTTTAGCTCTGATTCAAAGTTATAGCTTAAGTCATTTTGGAAAATGTTCCACCACATCGGTCTAAAGTTTGAGCCTTGCCGAGATCCTCTCGCAACTAACTTCCAGGCACTAGTCGCCTCCTTTAATCTCACTCTGTTCTTTCTGTACGTCCTTAAAATATCATCGAAATTGATTTCGTTTAATTCATAAGCTTTCAATTTGGCAAGCATTAAGGGGTGGTACAATGAGTCAAACGCCTTGCTCATATCCATTGACAGCAATTCAATGTTCTCTCCATTGTCTAATGCTTTTCTCCAATATTCTGTCATCATTATGAGCGCTGTTTCACAACTGTGACGTTTTCGGTAAGCAGAGAGACGATTGCTTAATCGACTCTAATAAATCTAATCTCTCTAATATTGTTGACTCAATAAGCCCTCAAATACTTTATTCACGGTTGTCAGTATAGTTATGGGTCTATAATTTGTTTTGATTTGCTTATCATCTTTTCTAAAAGCAGGCAACATTCTCCTTTTTTCCAATCTTCGGGCCATTCACATTGATCTATACATGTATTGTAGAGTGTTCTAAGGGGTGTGACAAGTTCTTTCGCACCGATTTTTAGGAACTTAGGGGGTATTTTATCCCAACCAGTGGCTTTATTTGGGTTTAACTGTTGTAATACCTTTTCAAAATTGACAGCATCCAAGTGGTGAAACCCAATGTCTTCTACCTTATTGGAATATTTATGATTGACTGTATACTAGAGTGTTTACTCAATTCCGTTTCGTTCTTCCTTAATTCGTCTTTATCCCCAACTTCCTTGTTCGTGATATTTATAAAATAATCACACAAAACATCAGATACCAAGTCCTGCTTTTTTATTAAATTCCCAGCTTCTTGATGTGTATTTCCTAGCATCGATCCTGCTCTTTTGTACCCAGGAAAGACATAAAGGCCTTATAGAAATCCTTAGGATGTGCTTTCAATGCTTCAATCATCTCAAAATGATTTTTCTGATGATACCAGACTTAAAATTTGGATAAGAATACCTTTCTTGGGGAAGCAGGGAGAATTTTTGGTTAAAAAGCTTCTTAAGAAAATACAGCGGAATCTCATACAGCCGGTCAAATTTGTCGTAATTTATGACACTAAGAAGATATCATATTTCTTGCCTAAAAAAGACAAAATTCCTAATTCTTCGCGTAGCAATATTGTTTATGAATTTACTAATTCCTGGTTGCCACAGTTCCTACATAGGCAAAACAGAAAGAAATTTGGCTACTCGATTATCAGAACACGCAGATCCACAAAAAAGTTCGATTTCAAAACATCTGTCGGAATGTGAACATGCTAATTTCATCCTTAATTTTAACCACATGTTTGACAACCTTAATGACATAAATGACAGTGACACAGTCAAACTAGACACATTGCTCTCTTTTCACAATCTCATCCAGACTAACACTCAAACTCTTCACACTCTTAAGCACACAAATTCCAACCTTCTCCTATTCCTTGAAGCTCTGTATATTAAATACAGAAAGCACGTGCTTAATAACGGATTAAGAGCGTCTAAAGAACTCGTGGTCTTTTCTTAATTTAGTATCATTGTATGTCAATAGTGTAATGTTTCTAATACGTCATCTCTTCCTGTTTCTTTGTATATAATATGATAGCAAGTTTGTAAATAGCTTATTCTGGTTTGACAATGACTTTGAAATAGAGTCGAAATATCACCGCAAAATTGTTGTCTTGTGTTATAGCTCATATCTTGAGTTTACAAGATGTTATTCTTCGGAGTATGTTTTTTCTTGTATTTTATTAAATTGTCTGCTGGTAATGGTTTTTGGACATATCTATTAGTGTTTGTGAGGTAGTTAACGCTCTAGTTGCAATTCTTGTACGTTTATTTATTAAGCATTTAAATTCTTGTTCGTCTTCCATGTCAAGTAATACTTTTCCCTCCTTTGTATCTGGTTTTAATCTATCAAGATTTAAATCACCTAGTAGAATAACTGTCTTTTGGAAAGCTGCCCAGTTGCAAATGCTACTAAGTTCATTTTCTAGTTTTATTGCATAACTGCTATTCAGATCCCGAGGGGGTCTATAAATGCATAGAACCGTCATCCGTCTGTTTGCGACCTTTATTTCTAGGGCTATCGGTTCTAAAGTGGAATACTTTCTATCCAACTTTAATCTATTATTAACTATTGAAATTTAGTACAACGAAATAGCATTATACGTCGATAATTTCAATCATATTTTAATAATTATTTTCAATCTATACTAATTCACCGTTTCCACGTTTTTTTATACTTTCAATAAAGCTACAATAAAGTTAAATTAGTAGGAAATAACATTATTTAGTTATAAAATAGTATAAAAGGAAATCTAACAGTCAATCGCTTTCGGTAGAACCTTGACCTTGTTTATATTCACGCGCTTGCAACTAATTAACGATGAACAGTCGCTCATAAAAAAGGGCCTATTCACGTGAGAATCTTATCTTATCTTTTCTTATTTTGACATAATAACTATTTTTCAATAAATATATTGATATTAAATTTGTTGAATCAATATTTTAAGTTTCAGGCCAGTTGTACCAAAAGTTATAAGTGGTAGCGCACCATGACCAGGGCACAGAATGGGTCATACAGAAGTGAGATGCCCAATTTCTTGGTATTTCCTATGATTTTTCTATGATTTTGGCGTGATCGTAATTCGTTATCAAAGTGCTGACGCCATGGTCCTGGCTGGTGTGCGTTTGGGGGGCATCCACCCCCTGATAATATTCAAGATGGCGGACGTCCACTGGGGAATACCTCTTGGGCGCGCACTGGCTGGGACCTGACAGCGGTTACTCGCGTCGACCTTCTGTGTGTTTTATTTTTATTGTCAGGGGGGTGACTGCTTCTGTTTACGGTACTTGCCGAATGACGAATCATGACGAATAGGACTTACGCAGAAAACAACGGAAATGGATTTCTGTATAGTATTTTCAGTGATGAGGTTTCATGGTTTTGATGGCATGCAACATCCGCACGCGTACCTATCTTTTTAATTGAGCGCATTTTCAGTACTATTGAATTTGGTTATGTAGACATGGAACATGATCAACGAACATTTTCGTATTTACAAAGTTATTTGCATATATAAATTTTCCGCCATATTAAAGATACTGAAATCTGCTAGGCGTTCTGAAGCACCTTTAGCGGTGACGTCACGCGTAGTTGCAGGTCAAGAAACATGTGGCAAAAAGACATTTAGATAACACCTCTAGCACATTAACTCCTAAAATGAGTCAAATAGTATACATAAAAATGTAAATTTTATTTTCTAGTTAAAATCTAAAAACTGTTTTGTTATAACAAAAATAAGAAGTATGCGGACAAGTTGCGCGAACTTCCTTGAAAATACTCGTAAGAATACAAAAACCTCAAACTTGATAATTTTTTCTCAAAGTTCATGTTTTAAAAAGGATATCTAACCATCCAGTACTACCTAACGGAAATTCTTGGTTTTATGTTCCGTATTGCCATACGGATACCAGCACGTGTCACCTTTAGCTTTTCCGTGGATTGTTCCCCAATCTGTGTCTGCAACCGCGGCGTAGAGATATCCAGACCCGTCAGTCTGGTATCCGGATAGAATTGCTAATGGAGGCGGTGAATCACTTTTCACGAGTTTAGTGGGACGTATGGATGTCACATAAGCGAACTCTTGTGAAGTACGATATTCTTTCCAAAAATAGGAATACCAGCAAGTACCATCCTGGAATTGTACCCCACTCGGTGTTCGCTATAGCAACCCACATGTCTTCTTCTCCCTGTTTGCCTAATTTTAGGGCATTTCCCGAAGGGCTAGACGACTCAACGTAACCGACGACGGGATACTTATCAGACATGACTATAGTGTTCCTGAAAAAGAAGCAGTTATTATGAAATTAGCAATGTTATGCCGGCCAACATGAGAGTTGGGGTAGGTTCAGCAACCATTCTGAGTTTAGGCGACGCGTGCTGAATCTCAGGCCAGCCTCACGTAGGTGAACATCCTACAGGTATAACACGTAAATCCCCCGTCTGCCAACTCCGAAATTTTCTGAATTGGGAAAGCTGGAGTTTCAAACAAAACAATTATCATCCCCAAGCTGTAATTCACCCTAAATTTAACATGACGGGAAACATTGCGTAGTTTAAACAAAAATGGTAGAATGAATATATTTACAGTTCACTTTTTTGCAATTAAACAATAAAAGTATAGTTAAACATTTGAAACTATAAAAACTACTTTACCATCCTACTAGGACGAAAATGAAGCAATATATTAATAGATATATACCTTGATAACTGTAATTCTAGATTTCACTGTCCAACCGTTCTTCAGAGATCTTCAACAAGTAATGAAACTTGAACTCGTCTCGTCCAAATTTACACGATCGTGCACTTTATCCACGACGCTTACTAACAAATTATTCGACAAACCTGAAAAATAAAGCATTGACTTACATATATCATGTACTTCGTCTTCTTTATAATTATTCAAACCTTTGTATGATAATTTATTACAAACACTCAAACCCTCTGTATGGTATAATTACAATCAAGTCCTCTGTATGGTAATTGCAAACACGTATTGAAAGCATTAACAGAAAGCAATAATGAGGCAATTTTACGCTTAATGGCCCAAGTTGTTGACAATAGCTTAATTTATGTACTTCGAACACACAAATCAAACACAGTGTTCGACTACGACTCGTCTTTTACACGCTTCTCTTGTGTTCTCCCAACATTTCTCTCGTAGTTTATCACAGCATAAAGCACTCGGACTCGTTTTCCATTTCGTAAATAAACGATCTCTCTCTCTTCGCTGTTTACCTCAACTTAGTTTGTTGTAAGCGGACAAAAAATGAAATATTTTAGTATGTTCGACGCGCGAATTATATGCTGTGCGATGTGGAAACTAACTAGCTACAACAGTAAACTTATTGATTATATAACAACTGGATATATAACAATTACAAACACGTATTGTTGTCCAGGACACCCTCTCTGCAAGTTGGGTTAATTTTTCTTTTGGGGGGTGGCACGGCCCTGCGCTTCGTGGGAGTTGCCCCCCCCCCCACACACTTTTACAAGCTTCCTACGCCACTGATTTGCAGTCACGTTTTCAAGAATTTTGTGTCTTTTTTTCAATAATTAATGTAATTGTGCTTTTTAAAGATATTTCGCTATCTCGATAACATTGTCATAAAGCATAATAAGGTCCTTGACCTTGTAGGTTTGCATGCATGATAAAAATAAATATAATTGTTTTGTTTTGTTGACACGTTCATTTCTTTGTCTCGGCTTTGGCGAGCTTTCAACCCAAGTCAGCGTTGGGGCTATAATAATTTAATACACTGGTGATCGAAGATCCTTGCAGGTCTATCTACATATCGAAAGCTAGTAATACAAAATAAACGTGATGTTTCCACAAATACCAAACAAATATATTTCCGCCATGCAATCATACAAAGCCTTTCACGGCGAAATTGAAACTTATACACTGAGAAACACTGAATATACATTACTGAAATGAAGTAATCTACAGGGTGTATAAAAAAAACGCAACCTCGGAATTTCCTAAGAAATCACTTTGCAATTCTTAAGCATAAAAGATTTTAGGCTCCTGGGAATTGAAATCGCATTTCTAATAGATCATATTACTGTTGTTGTGCATTAAATAAATGCATAAATTTTGCTTTATGCACTCGCGTGTGCAGTAATTTTGACAGTTGTGCTATTTTAAATTCCCAGGCGCCTAAAATCTTTTGTCTTTAAAACAATGTCGATTTCTTGGGAAATTCCGAGGTTGCGTTTTTTTTTATACACCCTGTATAGTTTGCTGCCTTTTTACACTGGACCTCGACGTAGAACAGTTTAATCACTGGCTAATGCAGATTGAATTCCTAAACAAAATGATATGACGAATGTTGACAACGAAGAATTCAGTATATTTGGCAAGAATAACAGTGTTTATTAAGCCCCGTTTACACGACAGTCATTTTGGGTACGGCACGCTTAAATTTTGGCACGCGGACCCATGCTTTTTGGTCCGCCTGTTGCGTTTACACGACGAAATTTTTGTTCTAAAACATTTGAGTTCGGCTGGTTTAAACTGGGAATGGCACTCTTACATTCAGAGTCAAAACCTTGACTTCATGACATGAAATATCTGATCTATTCAGCCATAACTTTTTGGTGTGGCATAAAGTGTATTAAACTTTATTTCGAGCATTAAATTAACATTTCATTTTTACCAACTTTCTCAGCTTTTCCCCCAGTAAACTATATTTTTATTGAGATAGTTTAATTTTTCGAAAATTTGTATTAAATATTTCCAGACAATTATTAACATTTTCGTAAAAAATACAAAGTTTGTGCATTTCCATGCATGAATGTATTTTTTCAACTGTAAGTTTATAAACTCATATAAACCTAGCAAAATTTGTACTTGTTGCATGGTGCTTGAAAAGCCATTATATGAAAGTGTTTTAATTTCTAAGCTATAGATCATGATATTTCATTGACCTTCATGGCGATAAACAACTTTGTAACGAAGCAATAAATTCATATTATAAAAATATAGGATGCCATTTTGAAAGCGTGCACAGTGCCATGGGCGTACCGGAAAGAAAAATTTAGGGGGGCGGCAAGAAATTTGCCCGACTTTTCCGGATTTTGCCCGACAAGTACCGAAAAAATTTTTCCGAAATTTGGTTTGGCGAACCTCCCCCCCCCCGCCCCTCCGTCGCCAAAAAAATTTCGGTCAGTGTACCATTTTAGGGGTCAAAAATTTTTTCCGGACATACCATTATTGTCCGGAACCTACAAAATTTTGGGAAATTTCACAAAATTTTCTGCAAAATTTACAGAATTTGTCACATTTATTTTCTTAATTAACCAAAATTGCCCGACTGTTCAGCGAATATTGCCCGACTGCCCTATACACGAGGAGCAATTAAATTTTTTATAGCGAAGTAAGCAGTATGATGGGTGTACGCAAAGTAACTTTGGAGCGGCGAATGAGGTCATTTAGGCAGGAGTGTGCCAGGTAAGAAAGTTATGCACATCCTACACGGCCGACACAGTAATTATATATGCAACACGAGTACTGTATATATAGAGTCTTATCATCAGGATTTAATATGATCGACTGCACATTAAGTTTTATACAGAACTACAGCATAGAATGAGAACGAGAATACCTAGGTATTTACATCTTTCATCTGAACTTCATTTTTTACCGTTTGAAGAAAAAGGTTAGCTTAGTAATGCACTGCTGAGAAGACACAAAAAGCCTTAAAGCTAGCCCATGTTAGTGGCATGAGGGCGGTTGGTGGCAGTCAGTCCACTCCAGGAACTTGGCATTTTGGATTAATTCATGAAAACTTGAATTTTATTGAAAACTGAACTTTCCAGTCCTGTTTTCGTTTAAGGTCGGCAAACCGCAAATGACCTGATCAGTCTTCGCTAATTCAGAGATCAGTGTCTAGATTTTTTCACTAAAACCAATTCCCACACAAGACTAAAGTTGTGGTTTCATGTACATGTACGGCATTACATTTATATCAGTTTCCCTATAGGTTTGTCGACTTGGGTTTCAACATATACAGTGCTGCATAACCACTGTGTTGGCCCTGTATAGGATGCATGCATAAGCCATAACTTTCTTACCTGACACACTCGTGCCAAATGACCTCATTCGCCGCTCCAAAGTTATTTTGCGTACACCCATCCTACTGCTTACTTCGCTATAAAAAATTCAATTGCCCCTCGTGTATATCATACGAAGGACTTACGAAAGTTTTCCACGGCATAAACTTGTGCTGGAAATGCAGAGTTATTCATGGCGGTTTAAAAACTGCGTCTTTTAATTGACAACACTGTCTGGTTGACAAGCAGCGACAACAGTTTAATTTCAGAATACTTAAACTGATATCCACATATTCTGTTTTATTTCGTTCAAAATTAATTTATACAACAATGATTCGTGAGCATAATTATGGTGAATCTTGGCCGATAACACTTCGCCCTCGGCAAATGATTGTTAATTATGAAATAACAATAATCTTCACCATCACATATCAACATTTAAGCGTGCCGTGCCCAAAATGACTGTCGCGTAAACGGGGCTAAAGAGTAAGGACAAATTCATGATCTAAACTAAGCAAGCTATAGTATCCTCTGATATAAATAAATTGAGTCCAGTTTAAGTTTCGTCTGGTGATAGTTACATGGACCACTATATATAAACGTCGACCTCTGTGAGAACATGCATTCTACAATAAATAAAGCTATAAAGCGACACTTAGATTCAATTTCGTTGAATTTAGTATAGTTGCAGTGTGCTTGCCGTATTCATAAAAATGTTTATTAATAAGACAAAAGCATTGTCGATTTTGTTACTGCATCATGTGAAGATATGGCTATCTTCAACATTTATTCCGTACCTTATAAATTAAACAGAAAACATTGTTTTCAGCATATAAGCTTTTAATTAAAATTATATACAAAATAACATACTGGTACAAATTGGTTTCATCTGATAGAAACGTTTCTGCAAAATATGCATGGCTCGCGCTGCTCTATTAATAATTTTATTATTTATTTAAAAAAATCCTGGTTTCTGATTGACTAACAGCCGACTGTGAAATTGTCATATCAACTCAATGGCTAACCAAATACGGATTTTTCAC